TCCTCCAGTCTTTCCACTTGTTCTCTTTGCCAACAGCCATCATGTACCCCATGCAAGTGGTGAAGGTGTACCAGCCCTCACCGCCTCTAGCAGGCGCCCTGCTCAGATAGTGCATGTAGGCGAACGCTTCAAAGCTCGCCTCCACCTGCAGCATCTCACAGGCGACAACGTACCCCAGAATATTAATCCAGGAGTTGGGTACAAGTTGCCAGATACCCAGTTGGTATCCATCCAAGATCCTCTACACGACCGGATGGAGAGGGAAGCGGAGGCCAGCTTGGAAGGCCGCCTCATAGCAGCCGAATGCTCTGTCCTGATAGTTGGCCAGGCTCTGCCACGTAATGGTGTCGCCCTCGTTAGGGACCGACAAAGTATAGCCATAGCCTAGAACGCCTTGCGCCTAAAATTGGCAAGGCCGGATGCCATGGAGCTCCGTCTGCTGGGCGAAACATGATGATAGTAGGGGGCTCTCTCCAAGCGCCTGGAAGCGCTCGGCTCTGCCCAACTTTCCCCCTTATCCACTGCCAGGGACTCCCTGGCAGAATCTATTTTCGTTCTTGCCTCCTCTGAAGTTATGGAGGCGTTCTCTGAAGAAGATGACGAGGCCGACTCGTCATCAGAGCTCTCATCAGAGCTAGGGGACCGTCGACTGGTGCCAGCGGGGTCCTCCCCCAGACTCTCTTCCGGCGCCTGTCCTGAAGGCCCGGGTTGATATTCTTCATCCGTCTCCCCCAGGATTCCATCACTCGGAGTTCCACTAGATGTGGGCGAATGGTAATAGGTGGGGGTTGGAGGAAGATAAGAAGGGTTGTCAGGATGTTCCGAAAGCTCACTTCGAGGCACCCTTATTGAGCCGTCTGAATAAACAGTCGACCCATCCGAATGGTAGAAAATTCCATCGGAGCTACATTGTCTTGCTGTTCTTTTGGTTCTGGCCATAGTGTCCTGCACACACAAGGAAACGGTCGGATTCGGAGAAGTTCGCAAAGCAGGGTCTTTGGCCAAGCATTCGGCACTGCTAGTTCTAGATTCAGCCATCCCCGGTGATCGGCTGATCACTATCCTATGCCGTGCCGCATGCGATTGGGGAACCATTTTTTCGAAAACAAAGAAAAAATGAAGAGTAAAAGAAAAAACAGGCGTTACCTTTAGAAGAAGGGTGAAAGACGCTTGGTTGACTGAAGAACAGTCAGACAATAGGCCGAGTGTCAGATGCTTGAAAAGTGAAAACGCTTAGGGAATTTTGAGATTCTTTAAGTCAAAAAGTCCAAGATTCTCCAAAGATTCGCAAAGGTGTGAATCCAAGGGGGGGTCAAACCTCACTATTTATAGGGGGGTAAAACCCTAAAAATTTTCCCTCCAACAGTAACTTTTTGAATCCGACCACTCGGATACTGACACCTGTCACAGGTGTCACGTGCAATGCACGTGACCCCTGTGAGGGGCAAATGATTTGGGTATTTTATACCCGGCCAGGTGGCCCAATCAGAAAACGCCACGTGTCCTCCAAAGAGGTGCCATTTGGACCTATGGAATGATGACACGTGGAAGGCGGACACTCTTCTGTCCTACGCAGACTGATGATCCAGCATGGACTATTCAGATGGCGACACATGTCACCCAAAAGATGCCCAAAGGCCTTTTGGGCTCAGTGACACGTGTCACTCAGGCATTGCCCTTGGGATGGCGGCCTTCAAAGGCCAAAATCCCGAGGCACCGCAAAACGGCGTGACCTAATTCCTAGGTCACCAGATCCTAGGAGGGGCACACTTTTTAAAAGGACCCTAAAAATAGGGACATTCTTGCATTTATGACAAGAGAGAGAATATACACGCAAAACGAGACAACACGTCACTTATCACAGAGCTGTCGAACACACAACACTTTACCTGAGCTTGGAATCTGAGCAGATAAATTTAATCCGCAAGTTTTATTACCGAACGTTTACTAACTTAATCTTCGGAGGCGGACCGCCGACCATTCGGCGGTCCGTTTGCTTTGTAGGTACAGGCGCCCGTTGTTGAACCCAGTTTCAGTGTTGTAACTCTCCCAAGGGACAAAAACCCCTGAAACATTTGGCGCCGTCTGTGGGGAGAGTACCTCTGAAATGGCTTCACAAGAACCTGTACCAAATCCAGAGGCCATTCAGCCTCCTAATGATATACTGGTCTAAACGGACCATGACTCAGGGGACGACGCTAACGTCGAAACCTATGTGGATCCAAATGGATCCCTCGTCTCTAAGCACATCCGTAGTAAGGAGAGGCGGGAGCGCCACCATGACCAGGCAGGCCCAAGCAAAATTGCTGGCCAGCCAAAGAAGCCCTCGGGGCAGCCAGTTGATCCTTCCCAGGCGGCAAGATCGACTCCCGTCACTCGAGATGAACTAATGACACTCCTGAGCAGCCTCAGGGGTGAAATCAAGCAACTCGCCTCAAAGAAGTCGCCTGCTCCTAGAAAGGAGCAGTCGACCAAGAAGCCAGCCCAAGATGGCAAACAAAAGTCGGTCAGGGACCGTCAGCCGACTCCTCATCCTGCCCCTAAGGAGAAGGCCAGGCCCCAATTTGACCTTACTCAGCTCCGTTTCCCAGAAACAGGCGCAAGAAAACCCATCCGGCACATACAGCCGGATGGCAGCAAGAAGACGTTCTCTGACGCTCGGCAATACATTAAGAGAAGAGAACCCAGCTATCAGAGTCGGCTTCAACGTCGACTTATCATGATAGCTTTCGGAATACCTCGGTGAGGTGTTCCCAGTCTGTACATGAGACCCCAGCAAGTAGCCAACGGGTTCAGTCTGGGCCTCATATGATTAAGTCCGCCCAGTACATGGCACAACCATTGTACCAGGCGCGAGTTTTACCTTACATTCAACCTGCTCTCTATGGAGGACAGGCGGCATACGGCTATCAGCCTATAGACTGGCAGCTTAGGCTGCAACACCTTGGAGATCAACCCTCTGCTTTCTCCAGGGAAATAACTGAAGCCGTACAGCCGGCTAAAGTAAAAAACGTACTGGTTGGAGCCTATGACGGGACCTCCAACCCAGAAGACCACCTGCTAGCATACACCCACCTCATGTATTTACAGGGGTTGGATGATGGTAGATCTTAATTCCTAATCCCTTACCAATTCTTCCTTTAGGCCAACTTATTGAGCCCCTAATTTCCCAATAAGTTAGTCCACCAATTCAAAATAGGATTAACCCAATTAAAAATACTTTTGTTGCTTCAATTCATGATCTATTATATTTACACACTTATAATTCATTTAAATAAATAATTTTCTTTTTAATAAATAATTTCATTTTAATAAATAAAACAATTAATTTATATATATAAAATATAATAAAAATGCGGAGTATTACAAAGCCCTCGCAAAGGCACGTCATGGTGCTAGAAAGGGCATGCGAGGCTGGGCGTGCTATGGCTGCACAATCCCTCGCACACGCCGAGCAACATGCAAGTCGAGTGATGCGGGGCTATTCGTGTTGGCCCTTCGCATGGCCTAACAGCCAGCTATGTAATACCCCGTATTTTTATACTTATTTTATTTAAAATAAGTATTTTGTGAAGTATTTAAATAAATTGAAATGTTTTATTTATAGTATTTTAATTATTCATTTTATTAAATTTAGAAATACTTTATAAAAGGAAAGTTTATTTAATTAATTATTTTATTTAAGTTGGAAATTACTTTAAGAAAGTATTATTTGGAAAGGGATTAGGAAAGATAAAAAAGGGCAAGTTTAAGAAGAAGGGTTTCTAGAGAATGGGTATAGATATTAAACACTTGAGGCAAATCAAACTTTGCCCAGAGTGGAAAAAACCCAAGGTAAACTTTCTCTCCCTTCTCCTTAATTTTTTTTTTTCTTTTTCATTCTTTTTCTCCTTCCCCTTTTTTTTCGGCATCACCACCGCCGGCCACCACCACCACCGGTGGTTCATCGGCCACCAGCAGCACCAGCGGCAGCCATCGGTGCTGGCAGCAGCCGGTAGTGGCGGTCGGCCTGTTGTCGGCTGCTCTTCTTCGAACAAAAAAATAATATTTTGTTTTAATTGATTTAATCATAGATCTATTTATTAAATATGATTTTTTGGATTAAATTATGATTTTTGATTATAAGTAGCATGTAATTTAATTTTCAGATTTTAATTCTAATTCAAAAGCCCTAATTTTGAAGCCCCAGATTCATAAATTACTAATTATTGAAGGATTATGATATAGGATGGTTTAAACCTTTGATTTTTAATGCTGAAATTTTTGGTTGTGCATTAAAAATCAAGTTTCATTAAGGAAATTTAATTACCAATTAATTGGGATTAAAGTATGATGTTTTACATATAATTTCAGCTTATTTTAATTAAATTATGAGGGGTTTAATAATAGTATATATTGCTGAAAATTTGTGTAGAGAGGATTTTAATACTCTTCTATGATTTTAAATTGTAGGAGACTTCGAAGTGAGTGAGTTCTATTAGTCACGGAGATATTAAAATCGTATACAAGGTACGTTCGCGTACTTAGCATAATTTTTATGATGTAGTAGCATGCTAAATGTGTTTAATTTATTACAAGTAGTATCATGCTAGATTTGGAATGAAAATTATGATTTGGTTGTTATTGGTGATTGGATTTTGAAGCATGATTTATTTGTGATGGATTATTGGTTGGAAAATAATAGTTTAGAATGTTGTATATAAACCACACTTTTATTTATGGCATGATAGAAAACATGTTTAATTAAACTAAATGTTTAATTTGGTTTGAAATATTAAAAGAGCACTACTACAAAATTTGGAAAAAAGACCACTAATTAAAGACCCGTCATCTAAACAATAGGTTTGTTTGATGTAGGAGATCTAATATTAGTAATAACGGCTCTCTTATATGCACTAGACCCCACCTCTTTGGTTAGAGAATAAAAGTATAAGAGATAACAAACCTGTTAAAAAACATCACGGGTCTTTAATGTGTAGTATGGTCCACTTCTCAAATGAGAATTAAAAAAGTGGGAAAAATAACAGACCCTTTAATAGACTCAACAGGTCTCTTAAGTTCAACTTTACATCTTTATTTACTAACCCCTTTAATTCAGACTTCCTTTCCTCCATCCACACCCGACACCCCACAGATCTTCTCCCTTCAAAACTTTGTTATCTTTTCCACTTTTCTCTCTAACTCATTTATTGATGCTAGATCTTAATTCCCAACTCACCTAAAAAAAATTCAAACTTCTTCATCATCGTCGCCATTTCTGCCATAAAATCAAGGTATTTCTTCTTCAATTTTACAAAGGTTAATTTATTTTTAATTTTTTTATCAATTTGTAATTTTTAACTCAAATTAATATTCTTTTCTCTTGCTAAATTCATTTTTTGCAGTTTATAGTAAATTTTTGTATTGGGCCGTTAGATTTGAAGAGTAATTTGGTTAGATGATGTCTGGTTACCTTAAGTTATTCTTATTTTTTTCATTAATAATTGATTAATTTGTTTGAAACATAGATCTATAAATTATAGTGGTGAGAAATCGATTATCTAGATTTAATTAGCTTTAAAAATAAATGCTTTTAATTTATATCATTGTGGGCTTGTGGTAGCAGATAAATCTATAAAACACATCAACGAAGATGATAAAATTCGCCACAACAATTTTCTTAGTATCATTGTGGGCTTGTGGGCTTGTGAGACCAATTTTCTTTCTAATAATATGAAATTCGGCACAACAACGAAGATGATGAAACTAGTGGGTCACATCTACAATTGACGATGATGATGGCATGAGTTCCTTTGGTTTAAGGTGCATTATTTCTCATCTTTTGTTGTTTAATATGTTTTTCAATCTAATTTCATCACTTATTATTTTTTTTGTTTTAATTAGTATGTTATCAAAAAATTTATGTGTATTATTAATATTATGATGATTCATTATTTTATTTTTGTTTTATCAGATTTGCTTGATTTTATCACACAAAATTCTCATGAGATAGAAATGGAGCACTCAAGTTTATGGATTTATACGGACTGACGAAGTCATTGTAAATTTTAGTAAATTGAAATTGTTCTTTTATCAGGATTTTATGGTGGTCGATTTTATTGTATCTAATCAATTTTGATTTTTCTTAGTGCTACTTCTTAGAGTCTTGAATTCTAATTTACAATTTAATTTCCGCCAATTTGTATAAAATATAAATATGAAATTAAAAAAAAATTCAAATGCAACGACATCAAGTTTATTATTATTATTATTATAGAGAGCAAAGAAGACCCGTCATTTGACATGATAAGTCAGTTTGATACAACTAAACAGACCCCATATCTCAAATAACGTGTCTCTTTTTCTTCTAAATTGTCAATTTCATAACTGACATAACAAACCTACTATCAGTAACAATGGCTCTCTTAGTCCTTATATACAGACCCCCTTGTGTGAGGCGGTCTGTTTATCAAACAGACCTCTGAGCTAGAGACCCGTTCACTTGTGGTCTCTAAGGCTTATTTGGACGGGTCTCTTCACCAATTTGTGTAGTAGTGGAGAATTTTATTATTGTTCATATAATTTTTATTGATGTTTTAAGCATGAGAAAGGAGCTATATAAGTGTCTATGTACACAAGGAATAAATTGTATGTTGGTGTCTTAGTGCACTTAAGGTATTTTTAACACAGAGGGATAGGATTTTTGGCACATTAAGCGTTTAAGGTGTCTTTGACATCGAGGTAGATTTAAAAAGGGTTCAACATTAAATATTATGTGGACACTAATTATTCAAAAATTAATTAGAGTGTTTAATTGTTTGAATAATCATGATATTTGATGTTGTTATGTTTTGAGAGTCATCACCACCGTGCTAGTATAAAAGAACCACTCATAAGTGGCGGAATTCCTGCGCATAATAATAAAAGGAATGTACAACGTCATGTACTCCAGTAGAAGTTATGGTTAAATATAAACCCCATAACTCCCCCCATATGTTCATACTCAAGGTATATACGTTCCAAGAGTTTTGGTGCATAATCTCTTTCACTTTAATAGTTTCCTTAGCCGTTTTCACGGTGGTGGTAATATCTTAGATGTTCCTATTTAAAGTTTTAAACAAGGCAAAACAAGTATTTTAAAAGTAAGGAATTTCTAGGGTGTTACAAGCTTGGCATACTGGCTATGCGAGGCACGCTTGTGCGAGCATGCTTGCGAGGCTGGCAGTGCTGCAAGTGCAAGTCCAATAGTAAGCTCGCACTAGTAGAATAGGTAAGCAACAGCGCATTTAGCAGCATGCTAGCGTGCTCGCGCGCACTGGCTTAGCCCACCATCCGGGTGCGAGCAAATGACCGCATGGGCTTGCTGCGGCTGGCAGGCCAAGCCGAGGCACAAAGCTGGCATCTTGGCAAGCCTTGTTGCCCAAGCATTAACCTGTCATGCTTGCTTATGATTAGAGGAGGTTTTTACTTGGGGATCAAGGAGACCGAGTGGTCCTCACCAAACCACTCCCATGTGTCTGTGTGCCAAGTGTTGTTTGATTATTTGTCTTGCTATTTAATTTAATTTAGAATTAAATTAATTGTTTATTTTTCTCACTCTATAATTTATTCCAAATGGAAAGAAGATAGAAGTTTTTTTTAGAGTTTTTGCCTATAAATACCAAGCTTAGGAGTTGGGAATTACTCGCTTGAGTTGAACTCAATAAGGCATCTCTAAATAGGTAAGAAAACCTTAAAGTTCGTAATACTCTAGTCTTTCTTGGTCTAGCCCCGACTAAGCTTCGGGGTAGGGGCCGTTCGTGTTGGGTCTCAAGGGTGTCAGTTGTTGGAGGCTTGCGCATTTGCGGGGCTGAATGCTTTCAAGTCCTAACTCTAACAAAAAGCGAAGTACACATCAAGGGTATGATCTTCTTTTCTTCTTAGCTAATTAATTATGTTATTATTTATGTTGTTAATATGCTTGTATTTAGTTGCATTTATTTATGTGCAGGTCTTGGGGTCGGGTTTTTTTTTCCGAGTGGTGTTGGATATCGCGAAACCCAACAGCGGGGATATTGGCAAGTTGTCGGAGTGGGGGCTGGGTGGTGGTTTTTTTTAAAGTCTATTCATAAATTTTTCAAGAATTTTTAATTAGTTAAATAATTTAGTTAATTTTTAATGACTAACGGAGATTAACGACGTTAGTCATTTGTGGTATGTCATGACATTTTCATAAAACTGAATATTATATGGTGAATTTGAAAAATGTTGGTGGTATTTAATGAATTATGTTAAAACTCAATGGTATTTGGTGAAAAAACTGTTGTTTTTTTTTATATTTTTATATTTTTTTATTTTTACCATCTATTGTTAAAAAAAACCATTTAAGCTAACGAAATTTTAAAAATTCTATCGTGCAAAAACACGTTCACTACAGGTATTGGGGTTTATTTTGTCCATTTGAATACAAATTGAGGTTAGAATTGACAAAAAAATTGTCATAAATGCCCCGTTTGGCCGTTTTGACTACTAAAAAATATCTCTATTGCGTGAAACACACGAAACGAGGCAGTCGCAATATTTTTTTGTCAATTCTAACCTCGACTCGGATCAAAGAACCAAAAAGACCCCCCAAAACCTCTAGATATTAGAGAAAATGTTTTTGACACGGAAATAAAAGATTTTTTAACCGTTAGATTTAACGGCTTCTTGACGACAGTCGGTGAAAAACAATTTTTAAAATTTTTTTGGTTGTAAAATAAACTTTGTGAAGTTTTGATGGTAAAAAACAATTTCTTGATTTTTTTTTTGTGGTAAAAGTAAAAAAATCCTTGAAATAATAGTACTAGTATTGTGCCACAGGTGATGCTCGAGTTATTTATTAATGAGATAAACATTTTATCTATATGCCTAATTTACAAATATATCTATGTGAGATAGTAAGTGGTGTATATCTATGTTGATTTAGGATATTTTTATGAGTACCATTTATGGCACTCATTTGATAAGTATTTAGGTTGTTTTTACCTTATTTTCATAGCTTTCTTTCTTGATAAATGCTTAGTTTTATGCATTTTCTTTTTATTTTCCTTTTCTCTCTTGTTTTGTGTTTTTATGGTTTTTCTAGTGTTTTCTCCTTTATTTTTCCTTTTTTTCATGGTTATAGGTATTGCACGAGGTTTGGGTCTCGATATTAGTGGTTTTCTAAGTTTGAATATGCTTTTGGAGTAAGCTCATAGCATTGGGAAGTTCAAGATGCAAGGAAGTGGATGCTCCAAGTTCTAGTTCTTGCGCTCTCAAGTCGTGCTCTCATGAAAGATGGTGTTGAACCCACCATGGAGGCCCTTGGAAACTGCCACCCCCAACATGTATCAAGTGGAGCTCATGAGACCCATTTGCGAGCACACGAAGCGGCAAAGAATTCGAAGAAACCCAGAAGAGCACGGGCACGCAACCTCCTTATGCGAGGCGCACATGGCCCGTGCGTGGGCGCGCACCCTTACCCGCGCGGGCTCTCCTTCCTGTTTTTGGCTTTGCTCGATTTGGTTCCCGCGTCTTTTATAAATACCTTTCTTAACCCGATTTTTGTATGGAGTTTTAGACATAATTTTGATCATAATTTTATCTTAGTTGACAACTTCCCTCTCGAGATCTAGGGTTAGTTTTAGGAGTAGATTTAGAGAGAGAAAGTGAGGAATTTCATTGAGAGATTGAAGATTCAAGGTGACAATTGTATTGAAGATCTCCATTATTAATCAATGAGGATTTCTAACTCTATCTCATTTTATTGCTTTGTTTAATTTCATGTTTGTTTGGTTGGTTTGATTTTGATGTTTGATCTACATTAGTGTAATTGTTCTTTATATTTTGTTGATTCTTGATTTCCTTAGTTGTGTTGTTGGTAGATGATGATTCTTGAGTAATTGTTTGGCTATGAATTGGGTGAAAATTATATGATTGATTGATTGTGATTAATTTGGGAATTGTGTTGATTGATTGTTGAGATTAAAGTGATTAATGTAAGTTTGCATGTGTGTAATTCGATTAGGACTTGAGAATTATGTTAGATTACATTGTGATTTCTAATGACACGACCAATTGATTTAGGAATTGCATTTATCGATTGGTTTGGATTGTGATTCTCTTAGTTTGTTATTCATAGAGACATCTAGATTATAAATTATTAGGAGATAGCTCTCTGATTCCAATTGATAGCTCTTAACATTAGTCTTTACAACCATTGATCGACATGTTCTTCCCAAGTTGTTGCAATTGTCATGATTACATGTTGATCTCCATTCCCTAGTGTTTTATTTGTTTGATTCTTTGTTTTTTTAGTTGTTAGTGTTCCTTCTTTACCCTTGACTTCGACCTAGCTTAGGAGCCCAATTTGTAAATAGGAAAATAAAGGGGTTAATTTGTTAGCTTAGAGGGGTATTTATAGGAAAATAAAGGGGTTAATTTGTAAATAAAATAAAATAAATAAAAGGTAATTCAATGATTTAAATGGTAAATATCAAGATTTTGGTAATAATGAAAATCTTGATTTTAAATTCTTTTGTTTTATATGTAACAAACTACTAATTAACCTGTTCTACAACACTTAAACCGATAAAATAAATAAAAAAAAAGTTCTAAAATGCTATGGTATTACAAAAGGAAAATATATAACCAAATTATCGCAAAACTAAAAAATACTCAATGCAGAATACCTAAACCTATTAAGTGATCATTCATGAATCTCTCAATTCATTGTACTCACCAAGATATGAAAACAACAGTTGTAATATAAACATCTCCTTTAGATGTCAGCTCTGAAAGTTACTCAAAGACATATGCTTACAATACTTGTAGGGTAAGACAAAATATTTTTTCAGAGCTCATATATAAAAATATAAATTAACCTTTGCTCTCATTAGACTGTACATATAAATTTTACAAAAGAACATCTAATCATACGACAAAATCTTATACGCACGAGCATTATAAACAAAGACCCTTACTAAAAAAAAGTTGAGTAAATTATATAAAGTCATAAAATTGACGTGGTCAAAGAAAAACATATATACTATGTAAAACCATACCATATAAAATGACATGGTTAAGAGTAAAAAGTATTCCCTTAACCGGACAACCTTGAAAAGTATAAACTTTTAAACTATCTTACCTTATTAAAACACAAATTTACACTTATTTCTTCACTATTGGCGAAATACTGATAAAAAGATACAAAACTATATCAAAACAACAGAAAAGCGAGT